GTTAACTTTTATTAATGATCTAGATACGTTTATATATACATATACCAGGAAAAACTAATTTGTACTAATGATAGTTGTTTCTCAATCTAGTTTTCTTACTTTATCTGTGAAGAATATCCTGAGTTTACCCAAACATGCAATGTTGCAACTAAATTATATTGTGATTATAATTAATGATACTTTGTCAACACTGGTTATTTGAGATATATACATAGTTTACTAACTTTACTCATATGAGGAAAAAATAATTATTATGGAATCTGAAGAAAAAAAATTGAATTGTTATGGTATAATGAAAAAAATTAAATTTAAGGGATATAAAATTTAAAGGCCAAAATTACGAGCTATTCTAGTGGAAATACTTATTTATAAACAAAATATATTCTTATGCATAATTAAGTTTTATATTATTCCTTTTCAGAAATATTTACAATGTAAGATATTTACTTAAGGTTCCTGGTATTGTTTCAGACCATCGATTTTCAATATTGATTATCAGAATTCTTCAAACCTGAATAATTGTTTTACTCGGTTTGCAAATCTAATAATGAATATTTGAAAAAAAAAATTAATATTGAGTATTAAAAAAACCTGTAATGATTTTCTTCAAAGAAATAGCATGTAAATCGTTAATGATCGCCAACCAAGTAACTAATCGGGTAACAAAATTGAACAATTTTTAATGTCAATTTAGATAATAATATATAAGTAGTGATACGAGTTATATTGTATATCATTTACATTCGATTACGGATCGATTTACTTCGATAGCTAAAATAATATTTCATGCATGTCTGGTAAAGGAAAACCCTTTCCAAAATCACCACCCAGAATAATAATATCGCTCAATCCTTCATAGTGGCTATGAAGTATGCTAAAATATGTCAAGTCAGGAATAAATTTGATACACCAAATTATAAATCGATGTACTGATGCCTATTTGATAATATAATTTTCAGCTCGACAGATTTTACCCTTCATTAAAACGTCATTAAAATCAGTAATATGTGCAAATATGTGTAAAAGGGTTGCTTGTTAATTGATTAGATTCATAATGCAGAAAGTGTATCTGACAATCTATTATATTAAGTTCTCGTCCAAGTAAAATAAATACGAGATGTAATAGATAGATTTCAACTTAACAATAATATTCCAATTTATTTATATTTTTATTCAATATTATTGCTTGAAATTGCAATACATAACGACAACTACTTTTTTAAAAGAGTAATAATTATATTTTTTCAATTCATTAAAAAAAATTAAGCTTTTACAACATATATCATTATTTCGAAGAAGTTTTTGTTCAAGATTAGTAAAGACATATATAGAGTAAAAAGGTCAACTACTGATATGCCAAAAACAAATAAAGTTAGAAATTTTTTAACAACAATATTTAGAAGTTGAGAAAAAAAGATGTATAATCAGCCATCACTTCGATTCTTACGACGTCGCTGCCATAAAGTATTTTCTTTAGATATTAGTTTTTTGGTTGTGAGCACTGTTATTTAATTTACGATACAGTACAGTCTAAAGTTAAGGTATGCATAACGCATAATTGTTTTATAAGATATTACATCTTGATTATTTATTAACTTCCCGTAGGGTAGTTATAGTAATGGGCCAAAAATCTAAAATGAACATTTTTGCATTTCTCGACATTTTGAAGGTTTCTGGACCTTTTGGCATACCTCAGGAAAAATGTGTGTTTTGTATATCCGCATTTTTTATCCACGTTTTCGGGCGCACAGATCAACCGATTTGAATGGTTAAAAAATATTCGATTCCTATTGATAGGGAGATGTGCTGATTAGTTTTTGGCAAAGGCAGGTTCAGCCGTTACGGAGATACGGAGAAAAGAGCGTAGAAAATACGAATCGAGTTTTCGTAGATCGGAGTATCTGATTTGAATGATCTAAAGAACATTCAATTTGTAATGATTGGGAGAAGAGGTGATTAGTATATGGCAAAGACAGGCCCAGTCATTTCGAAGATACAGAGCTAAATGTGCAAAAAATGGCAGTTTTTGAAAGAACTAAGCGCGCGATTTGAATGATTCAAAGAACTTTCTGCTTGTTTCAACAAAATAATTGCTTTTGGAAAATGAATCGTCTCAAATTTTTAGACAATGACAAATATGAGACAATGTTACAATATTTATTGTAATCTATATGAAAATATTTATTGTTCCTCGATCATTTCTTTACGGTACGGGAGATTCCAGCAATTTGCTTTAAGGCATAATTCCATACACCACTAGTTATTTAATTATTTTTTAATTATATTTAATTATATTTTTGTTTGCTGAGATATTTCTAGTTGTCAACTTGGGGTGATATTATTTTACCATAATAAATTTAAAAACGCTATTAAATATAAGAAACGCGCATGCTGCAATATTAGATGCTAAGTTTCAAAAAAATGGCCCAACTATTTGGACCAAATAATTATGTAAGTATTTCACTTGATAAAAGAAAAAAGTCCGTCGCAAATGATTTCGTTCTAAATTAATCGATCTGCTTTTAGATACAAACAGCTATGTCGTATTATACATTCTATAGTTATGTTTTATGAGCGATAAAACAGTTTTAGGTTTATGCGAAAAGCGTTCTGTACTACACAATCGTCGTCTCTAATCCCTAAAAGTGTAATGTTCTACGATAAGGGTTTATAGTCGACAGAATTTAATTTACAAAGTTTCTCTTAATATAAACAGCCCTTAGCCAGGAGTGCTACTTGGCTGCTCGTTAAAATGACTTTTTAATGACGTGGGTAAATTGTTCAACTATATAGTCAGTAGTATTGAGATGTGTAAATTAATTAATTGATAAAATATTGTTACTAAAATATAAGTTATTTATTTAAATTACATCGAATTATGAAATTTAAACGTTTGCGGTTGTGTTTATATACATATCTTATGTTAATATTGACAACGCATAAATGTATGGCAGTCGGGTAGAGTTTTTCATTAAAATATTTCAAACTGACAAAATTTAATTCCAAATTTTTTTCGATTTAAAATTCATTTAAATTTTCAAAAACAAATTTTTGATAAAAAGCAAAGATTTTATTCGCCTACTCAAAGTAAAACCAAAACCCACTGTTTTTTATTTGACTGAATCCAAGAATGCACAAAATTTTAAACAAACGAATATGTATTTAATTTTGCTCGCGTAAATTTTAATGGTTGACAAAATTTGGGTAACGAAAAATTTGGGGCTTTTATTTATTGATTGTTATTTAATGAGTGTTCTAAATTCAAGATTTTACAGTAAAAATTGAATCAAAATGCCTCGTAGGGCATTGAGAAAAAAATCTTTTACTGTTATTTCACACAGTTCTGACACTTCAGATAGTGAACTGAAATCACCTCCAAGGGTAAATATTAACTTTATTTATGTTATTAATAAGATAATTAAACTTGTCAATCTAGCGTGTATGTGTCATGATCTGTCATATTTTAAGAAAACGTCTAAAAAAATAGTACAAAAGTTTTCGGTATGTATTGTCAATGGCTACTAATTTTTATTAAAGATAGCAGTTTCGGAATTTTGAAGTTAAAAAGCTGAACATTATCGCATAAAAGATTTGCATATTAAGCTAAGATTTTCATAAATATTTTAATGTTGTAATTTTCTCAATAATTTATGATTTTTGAAACATCCTATAGAAGTTTTAACATTGGCCAGTTCAACTGTTTGAATTTACTTAAACATTTTACAATTTCTAATTGCAATCCTCTTTACTAACTGGACTTATGAAACTACAAAAACTATTTCGGGAATAAAAAAAACATGTCTAGAACAGCTTTGATTTTTTTAAAATTAAAATTAAATATAAGATCAAATATAATTAGTGTTTTTTGAAATAGAATAAATAATTTACTCAATAGTACTTATGAAGTTGGGGACACCGAACACTTGATGATTTCTCATCTAAATATATTTAAAACTAGATGACCCGACAGACGTTGTCCTGTACTAATGTTTACAATTCAAAAGTTCCAATTTTTTTTTAATAATCTATACTGATATTGACCATTTAGTTAAAAATTATTATGTGTTTTTACACTACAGTCTATAATACCTAAATGTATATACATGACATCCATTAGTATCTGCTTTTTTGAAAAACATTATAAACCATTTTTTTATTATAATTTGTTTTTTTTATCGATATCCTACGTTATTTTGATAAAATTGGCAAAGGTGTCTAAATTATTTTCATTTTTGAACTTGAGAGTAAGATAAACCTAATTCCAAAAATTCATACAAATTGGAGCACAGTAAAAAAATTCAGACGCAGAATGCTCCATTGACTTGAGTGAATATTCCGTATCCGAAGGCAAAAATATGAAAATACTAATGTTTGTATGTGAAAAAGAAAAGGAATGTTTTTGGATTTTTCCGGCATTTATTTGAATTTTCCTCGTCGTAAGAACCTTAAACATTTCAAATCTTCATTTCATTCAACACATTTTGCGATTTATTTTTATATTAAAAATTAAAAACATGACATTTGACCTGTTTGCCCCATAGCCATGCCATTTTATCCCGTTTGTTAGGTAAAAAGGACCGGGTGACAAGGTTTTAAAGAATAGAAAAAGATTCTTCAATGATGAACTGTGGAAATTGGTCTATATAGAATGATTTTAGGAAGAAGGTTTACTAAACATAGTCAGATAGTTGTTTGTTTGATAAATGCTCGAAGTCTAATTGGACCTTGCTTCCCGCCCTACCTGTAATGGTATCATAGAGCTTTTTTATAATTATTCATTAAATTTATCAGTGTATTTCCCGCTTCATTCTTAAAAAAAAATATTGCTCATTTTTTGTTTTGCATATATTCCATTAATATACATTTTTTATACAAAGTCATTCAGAAACATTTTAGGTCAGACTTATTTTTAGTTAGGCCTCAATTTAGATCTTATATCTTTTACCTGAAAGTATATATTCTATTACTTTATATTAATATTTTTTTTAATCCTTCCACAGAAACAGCATCATAAAAACACGCGGAGTGGAAAACACTTATGTGATGCATGCAGATCAGTATGTGACTCCGAACGTTTTAACAGAAAACGTCGTCGTCCTGATATGTGGGACTTCGAACGTCGAGTCACCGAAAGCTTGAAACGTGCCAAAAGGCACATCAGCAATATGTTTAAACAACATGTTCTTTGGGCCATGCAAGACAGCGTCGAACGGTAAGTGATAAACATATTATTAAATCATATTATTAAAACTCGGTTCATGGGCCATTATTTGCGTGAACATTCATTTCATTTCTAAATATACATCATCTAAAAGTACAAGCAACTTTATATATTTCACATGTTAATTTTTTGTAAATTTATATTGGTTTCTTAATCGCCTGGAAAAATGATATATCTTCCATTCTCTTAAATTGAGAAGGTCTTATAAGGTCCTTAAATTCCCTAATAAAATAAATTTTTTATGGTAACACTATGCTGCGGGTCTATATTGGTATTCGTTAGTAGTAACAAACTGTTGAAAAGCTATCGGTTTGCTGTGCGATCAGGCGTTTCACACCCGAAACCTAACTTTATGTATGTGTTATCAAAAAGATATCAGAAAGTTGGACTTATGATAAAATTGTTATTTAACGTTTGTGCGTTTTCTAGATTAGATCATCTATCTAAAACGCCTGATTGCATAGTATCCACGTAGCATTTGACAGTATTTAGTATCATTTTATATGAAAAAATGCAACGTAGCATAGCTTTACCATAACATTGGTCTCTTACAGCAGAATCGGTACCTTGTTATTGAATTTTGGTTCATGTTACATCAGGTACTTGGATCTTCATTGTCTATAATTAAATATATACCTATTCTAAAATTACAAACTACTTAAGTCTTTTTTTGTAAATTTACCAAATCTCTTAATCGCTTAGAAAAATAAAAAAAAATCTTTTAGCTTTAAAATTTCAACTTACCCTAGCTTTGAAATAGTCCCTGCTTTGGCAAAGTTTTATTACATATTTATAATGATAGTATACCTATATTTATACTTCACTACAAGTTTTTATTAATTTTTTGCCCAACATTTAATTCAATAATTCAACATGAAATGCTGATATGTTCGTACAGCAAGTTCCCTATATGTACTAGCAACTTCGTTAAAGTTAGATCATAACTGAATACAAACATATTTATATTATTTTCACCTATCATTGTTTTGCACATACTTAATCAAGATACTTTTCTCCTCATCAAGTAACTTTCAGCATCGCGATTTCTTATTTAAATTCACAAAATTTGTTATTGCTTCAACAGTCTCTAGAATATTGTTGTTTTTCAACATTTTTTTATATTGTAAATATTTTACTTCAACTTCTTTCATCATGGGTCTCATGATTGAGTTTATTTAAAATTTAAGAGTTGAAAAATCATAACCCTTAAGTATTGACTGTTGAAAAAAGCTGACCATTATGATTTGGGAACCTCTAATTTTATATTTGAGTATTTGGCAGACAAATTTTATTTATACATATACTGGTTTAATTATTGCTTATATTTTATGCTACATAATAGAGATGGTAACTCGCTCCGGAGTTACTGCGATTTGTTATGTACAACTTTGTATACCAGTAGTTTGTTGTGTACAGAAAGATGGAATCTCCTGCCCATTGACCAATATAGTTCACGCAACTTTTCCTCAAGCTGTTGCCTTTTCTTTTTCATGTGAATTTTCCAATTCAGTTTGCGGTCCAGATGCATGCCCAGATACTTTACGTGTTCGACCTGAGGGAGTTCTGTTTCATTCAAAAAATCTGTTCACATACACACAGACTTCTTCCAAATTTGGTCGCATTCGATTCAGAATGGCTTGAAACACCGAGAAAAAACTAGCGAATCGGATTTTTTTATGAAAACATAAACTTCTCCTTCGGGATGAAAATGACAAACCATGATTTTACTGGAATCCGTTTTTATAGATGTATAAAATAGTCTCTTTCTAGGCTTTGCATTTGGTTAGTCTCTCTGCCACTCTTTGATGTAAAAAGGTTTTTGATATGTAGGTGAAATAATTTTTCAGCGTAATTAGTGTACTTTTAATAGCATTTGTATTGATTTTACGAATACGAAAAAATTCGAATAAAATACGTAAACGTGAGCTTTTTAAAAATCTGAAGCAATGCTTACAACCAATGTCCTAATAGAAGCCGTTACGTTCGTCGACGAGCTTCCGGGCGTAGACCTCATCACACCAGGCGAGGTTCCAGAATTAGCGGCCGAGTCCATCACCGCGACCGACGGCAACGCGAAAAACCCACTCAGCGGCGCGTGAGACATCACAAGTCCGACGCTCTCGAAGAGCCGGAAAGAAAAGATGAAAGTACAGAGATCAAACCCGTCAATTCCGATCAACAAGTCAGTATATTCATATACAGTTCAGTTGAGTTTGAAATATTATGTAGATGGTTTTTTACCCTAAAGGTATTTTACATTTACAACATTTGTTTCAATTTATATGAATAAATTGGATTAACAGAAAAGAAAAGCTTTTAGCCATTTTCCACAAAAATTACAACTTCTTGTTTTTTTTTTAAAAAAAAGAAGCATAATAAAATAAACAACAATGTATAAGAGAGGTGAAAAAATTGCAAGATACATAGTCATACATAGTCATAGACAATACTTGGTTGATACAAAGTTATATACAAAATATTTATTAGGCGCTATAATAGGGTCGTAAGCATAATATACTTTGTTATATATAAACGTTATTTTGATATATAACACGTCTTACGTATCTTATATGAATATATACAAAATTGCATTGCACTATATATAGCTCAACTAATTTTAACTAGTTAATTTTAATTGACGAATATACTCCTCAAGAAAAAGTAGCAGAATTTCATTGTTGACGAACATATTCGTCGTCCGTATAAAACTGTTTTCATTTGATATTCAAATTTTCAATTATATTATATTTATTTATAATTCAATTTAAATTTAAAAAAAAAGGAAATATGTTATAAAATGTCAAGTAGTTCAGAATATTTTGTGATTTTTTGGGATATGGTTTTATAACATATGAGTGAAGTTACATTTTATGTGTAAGACATCTGAGCTTACAGTAATAAATGGTATTTTGTCTGTATTTAGTACGATTTTGTATAAAAACTGCCACGTATCATAGCCTTGCAATAACATTGATCTATTTTACGGCAGCATCAGCCCATAAATCTTTCCTTACATTGTACATATACATAAATATTGCGATTGAAAATAAGAATAGTACCTTCAACAATCCAACTAAAAATATTGAGTGTAGAGTATTGAATTGAAAAGTATAGAGAATATTCTAGTGTAGAGCGATGAATTTTAAGTCATTTTTAAAGTGTCGTAAAAGAAAGCAATGAATGTTTTTACTATCCATTTTTTACCACTTGTTTATTAATATTATTAAAATACAAAACAAAAATTAAAAAATAAAAAAGTTGAAAATTGTAAAAACTGGCAGCTGATGAAGTGGGTGGTCTCAAAAAAATCGGCACCTCAGTTTTGACATGATTTCAGCCCTCCTAGCCATCGGAAACGCAAAAAATAAAAAGATTATTAATCTACAATGATATCGCAATATCCCGAACTAGCAATGAGTAAAAAAATTTTTTTTTACAAATTGGCGACTGTATGAAAAAACGGTGTTTTTTTACTGTTTTTTTTTTAATTTCTCGATTTTTTTAAAAATAGTAAAAATTGGAATTTGGGGATACTCCTAGTTCGGGCTGTAGATAGGTCTATAAACAAGACTCTCTGAACGTTTCAAGTGAATCGGTCAATTAAAACTCGAGAAATCGTGTCAACAGTACTGAAAAAGTCTGTTCTGAGAAAAACGCATTTAAAGTTTTGCCTGAAGCCAAACCAGTATGGAGACCGAGTCAGTAAAATGCCTATATCTCCGAAAATAATTCAAATTTTCGAAAACCTTCTTGTACCCATATTCTTAGATAGTAAGACTTTGAAAATATGAAATTGAAAAAAATCGATGTTTTTTGAATTTCTACACTAGAATACCCCCTTAATTTATTTAATATTAAAAAAATTACATTTTCTTAATTGTTCGTTATAGTCCAAGTTTTCGCACGAATCTGAGAAAAGTACTTCAAGTATAAAAAAGTGTGAAACTGATGACAAAGTAGTACGCACAAGTAAACAACAAGCAGTAGCTAATAAAAAGAAACGCCAAATTATACAAAAAAATCAAAGTTTCTTCATGGATTCAAGAAGCAAAAATAAAAATCACCAAAGGAAATTTGCCAATTCTGGAGTACGCCATATGGACAATGAAGTAATTGTCTTAGATTTCTGTTTTTAGAAAAGATAAATAATATTAATGCCAAAGGTATTATAAAAAATTATAGGGCATTTATACAGCAATTAAAATAACTTAGTTTAAAGGTATATTTATGTTAGTACACTTGTCCTAACTTCTTTTACTATAATTCATGATTAATCGGAATTAATGGTTTATTAAATTAAGCCTTAACGCAAAATTTGGAACGTTAATTGAATAAATAAATTAAGAATTAAGAACGAAATTTAAGTTGAATAATAGTACATTTGTCTAACTTCTTTCCTAATTTATGATTACTAGGATTTATAATTTATGATTAATAGGAATTAATATTAATTGGTACAATATATTCATATCTGATACATTTACAGAAATGTGTACCTAAACTTCTATTAATTACATTGAATTCGTAAATTTGATTTTATGTACTCTCAAGCAAAGTTCACTAAATATGTATATCTTAAAATACAGATTCAAAATTTTTCATATTATAAAGCTCACCTTGTCATAGACACCTCTCTTTTTTTTTTGAATGATGAAGATATAACTTTTTAATCTCTATTTCCAAAAAGGTAATAGTAATCCACGATGACAATTCTAATCAAAATCTCGATTTGACAAAACGTAAGAAAAGTATGAGGAGCGGTGATAATGTTTCTAAAACTCCAGATAAATCTCCTGGTTCATCTGCTACATCTTTGGAACCTCAGAGTGCCCAAAACTCAAAAGACTCAAAAACCTCCAATTCCCAAAAATCAATTGGCACCGAGACTGTTTTCGATAAACCGACTTCTCAGCAATAATAATGGAGTTTGAAATGTAATATTAGGCGATTTAGCCGGAATAATGTTTAGCAAATGTACTTGTAAAAATTTGAACTTGTGTTAATATTGTATGAAAGAAATATATTGTATTTTGAATACGTTTTATTTTATATATGATATTGTTAATAGCGAAAAATCTAACATTTGTGTTGTAATTCTGATCTGTGGTGCGATTGTACAAAATTGTATTATACGTCTACTTCTAAATTATCTTTCAATTGTTTATAGAGTATTAGTATTAAAATTTTGTTACAAAATCTGCAATTATGGAAATTTTAATAATAGAAAATTAACAAAACAGTAATGATTGATATTGAAACTAGTTGGTTTGGTATTTAGCCTTGAGGCAAGTTACATGAACTTCCCGATATATGTAAATAACCGACTCAATCAATAAAAAATGAATTAATTTATGAGTGATTAAAAGTATTTCGAATGGATTTATTACACATAATTGAAAGCCAACAAACACATTAATTGGAGTATTTTCTAAAAGCAGATTTTCAAAAATCAATATTTTTTTAATTGAACCAGCTTCCGTTGGACTTTAATGATTTATTACGTTTATTAAGACCAAGTACTCTATCGTTATACCAAGTGAATCGTCTAAGTTTAATTTTAACAAATGTCAAAAAACTACTCATCACAAATTTTGATGAATTTTTAAAATTAAACTACTTGTCGTAAGGCCGTAATAATTCAGTAAGTTCTATAAGACCATGGTATATATCGCCAAAAAAAGTTCCATAAACATCGTCTTAACTTTTTTTTTCAACAGTTAATTATAAGAAAACGGCTCGGTAGATTTTCACCTAAAACTAATCAGTATCATTTCCAACTAATATCTTTCGAACAGTTTTTGATTTTTGAAAATCGATTGGGTAGAATGAGCTTAAATGTGGACGAAAAGTTTAACACTTTTTTCCAAATTTCAAAGAAACGGCTAAGCCGATCGTCGCACAAAAGTGACGAGCGATAGTCCTCATTGAGACACATCAAATGGTTTTTAAATTTCTGAAATCGGTTCAGGCGTTTTTGAGCAATCGTCGATGAAAGGTCTAATTTTGACAAATGTCAAAAGAACGATACTAACTTTGACGAATTTTTAAAGCTAAACCAATTGTCGTAGGGCCGTAATATTTTAGTATGATCTAGAACAGGGCTTCTTAAAGTGGGGGTCGCGATACTACTGAGAAGGGGTCGCAAAGATCTGATACTTTTCAATCATTATAAACAAAATTTTAAAATTAGTATTATTAGGCCGATAATTTTCATGATAATTTATGGTTTCTCAAGCTATGCTATTTGGCCGATATTTTTTATGAAATCAATGGTATGAATTTATCAATGCAGGGAGTCTGCTTTAATATGTTTATGTTAAAAAATAAACTTGAGGCCTCTGTTAAAATAATTCTTATATGGAAAAACAGAATGGAAAGTGGATCGCTCGAAATGTTTCCATTTACTGACGAGTATATAATTAATAACAATATTTCAAAAATAAAATATCCCCTACTATTGGAAATGGCAATAAACAAATTACTGCCATTTTTGAGCATACATAAAATCAAATAACCGTTCAACTTTAATAAACGTTGAAAACTTATCACGATCTAACTTATAACTCAAATTGAGCCTAGATTTAATTATTTGTGTAAAAATAAACAATCACATCCGTCACATTAATATTGTTTGATGTTAATAATATTTTTTCTTAGAAAAAATGTTACACAAGTTTATTTTTTCTATTGAATATATATATATATATATATATATATATATATATATATATAGTTTTATGTCAACGTTTCCAATTTATATATGTGACATGAATAGGTACATATTCTTTAATCCTTATTTTATTTACATCGTAAAATAGTGCGATATTACATCTACATCTACGGTTAATATATACTTTATTATATAGAGGATGGGGTCGTTTAAAATTTCCTAAGCTTGAAGGGGGTCGCTATATAAAAAAGTTTAAAAAGCCCTGATCTAGAAGACTATGGTATCTACCGTCAAAAAAATAATCATCAAAATCGTCGAAAAAAAAATTTTTAACACTTTATTACAAGAAAACGGCCCGGCCGATCTCTACCAAAAACTAATCAGCACGATTCCCAATCAATATCTTTCGAACGGTTTTTGAATTTTCAAGATCGATTCACAACTGCGGGCTAAAACGTGGACAAAAAATTTTTCACTTTTCTGCTATTTACAAAGAAACGGCTTGGCTGATCGTCCCGCAAAATTGATAAACGCTAGTCCTCATCGAGATACATCGAATGGCTTTTAAATTTTTAAAATCGGTCCAATCATTTTTGAGAAAACGTCGATTTACGGCAAAAAATCTGTTCACATACACACACACACACACACACATACACACACACACATACTTTTTCCAAATTTGGTCTCATTCGATTCAGAATGGCTTGAAACGTCGAGAAAACATGAAATTAGCGAATCGGATTTTTTTATGAAAACATAAACTTCTCCTTCGGGAAGTTAAAAATAGCGCTCTTTAATATATTTGATCATGTATCATAATGATATGGTTACGAAAACGTTCATAATTTTTTTCTTCATTTTTATAAAGAATCAGCTTGGCCGATCACGATTCAAAAATTTGAATTATTAAACAATTAAATTATTTCACGATTAGAGATATTAGTGTTTTTGTGATTGCGAAGGAAATCTACTCCCATACTGCAAATTAAAAATTATATTAAATACGAAATTTTCGTAAGAGTATAAAACATGAACTGATGTTCTATTATTCTATATATTTCTATTAGATTTCTATTATTCTATATATTTGTTTCCCAAAAATTCTTTGTAGATAAAAATACAGATATTATATGAATAGAAAAATATTGATATTATATAAATATAATTTACCTACAGTTTTAACCAAAAAAAGTTCCAATTACCCAATTTTTTATCCTAGGTTTTGGATTTTCATACTATAAATTTCATATTTGCTTAAGCACTATTTAAGGGAAAAAGCCTCTCTAAAGATTGAGAAATATTCTGTGAACTTCACAGTATTATATATGATATTAGCAAATTAAAAACTATTTTATATAACTAAAAATTGAGATTTTAGTGTAGTGAGGTTCAACTTTTTTGAACACAAATGTATAGGATTTTCAAATCCAGTCAAAACTATAACTGTGGAATTATATCACAACTAATTTTATAAACTTTTTTGTCATGTTTTCCTTATATTCAACAAACTTAACTAAGTTTCTTAGTAATACTAAGTTAATTATCTGTGGTAACTAAGTTAGAAAATAACTTAGTATAACTAAGTTGAACTAAATAACTGTTCTTGATTGTAGAAATCTTGCAATGATTCATCTTAATTAAACAGTAAAATTACGCCTGCTTCATGATTGAGAAAACGCTGTATGATGCACGTAGTATCTAAAAAAAATTAATATTAATTTAATTTATTAAAATATAAAAACTAATTATAGTGAAATTAATAATAAAAATAAGTTTCATAATATGTATACATTTATAGATTCTGGAATAAAGTAATATAATGCAGAATAAAGCTTACCAGAAAATAGAAAATAGATAGAAAACGGAATATTTTATCAAAACAATGAACAATTCGATATTCTAATTTTTAGAAACATTTTTTTAGATCATGTCATGACATGTCTTTGCCATTTTCAAATGCCTAAAATTATAAGAAATAAAACGATAAAAAATTAAGAGTATTTTGAAACATGTTTTTAAGTTATTGTAAATGCCATGTTAATTGAGTATTTCTGTAATACTTTTAGCGTTTTTTTAGTATTTGGAATCAATTCAAGACAATAGTATTACTCTAAAGTTATTTGTTTTTGGTAATAATTTTTATGTTATTTGAGTCTATTTCTAATGCATTCTTCAGTACACATTACTGATCTAGGTTGTTCTTTTTTTCGGAAAAATATCAGCTTTTAGCCAAAGTATTATACTAATTTATTTTAACGGGTTACTTTTTGTTAAAATGCCAGAAATATTTAGGAGAATATGATTCATTATTGTCATATCATAATTACCATTATGTAGGTTTGCAAATTCATAGGAAATAATCCTGCTTGAAAAATAATTAACCTTTGTGCTCTTTGTATCATGAGTGATACAGCATTTTTGTAGGCCTTTGAATCGTCTATCCACTGAGATTCATATATATCTGTCGCTAGATCTTCACTCTATTAATAATAATTCAATCTTTAAATCATTATTATTTTAAAGTATACATGTGAACCTTATTTGTTTTGTTATTTTTTCCAAATCTACGGATCAATATAACTAATCAATATTAAGAGTTATTCCAGTTTTGAGGAGGGTTTATATATATGGTTTCACCTATAAAATTACTAATTCTTAGGTCTTCGAAATATTTTTGCTTAAAAAAGGTTTACTTTTTCTCATAGATCAAAAATTTTCAGTCAATATATTAATATGTAATTTGCTGTTTTTTTAAATTTGTATATTCTCTATGCATAAAATGTTGTTCGGTTCTTCTTACCTGTTTGAGACTAATGTTCATCATTTTTATTATTTAAACTTCCAAAGTGGTACCAACAACATTTTGAGAAAAATATAATTTATTCGAACCTTTTCAAGCTAATTACGTAACAAAAGTTTTGTAAAAAAAAAAACATTTTTTTTTTAAAACAAATTTTTACACCGTATTAATTGGTTATAGTCCTGATCCTCTAATCATATAAATTGCGTATAGATTAATTTTCAATAAATGAGTTAAATAGTTGACTATTACCATTAAGAAACAAACCCATACAATGATAAATTACCTGTACTGTAGTTTCATTGGCATGCCAGTAGTAAAGCAAAGCACAAAATACTTGAGACTGTAAGAATCCTATAGTGAAAAATAAATCAAAGCCAAATCCTTCTATCTGAAATATAGAATTGTTAATAAATTATGTTATTTTATTTTTCTAAAACAATTA